CTGTCCAAAGTCACAAATACAGTATCTAGTTAGTCATGGGTGGTGATATTTGGTTCAAAATAGACGTTTATTTTGCGTTCCTTTCCCTTAACTGCATTCAGAATTAGAGAGAAGAGTGACAAGAAGCAGCAGGAAGACAGAACAAAGAGCTCACAGAATCATGGAAGGGTTCCAACAGCCAGCCCAATTCATTGCACATCTCTACTGCAGGAATGTTTCAGGTGACTCTGTTTTTGACAAAACGTGGGAACCACAGGATCTACAACACTTACAAGCAAAACTCAACAACTCTAATAATAGTGTCAGAAGTGAAAGCCAGTGTGGATAAAATAAGACATTGACTCAAGTTCTCTGAGGGAAGGTTTTGAAAACAAAGTTTACAAAAATCTCATTTTGCCTTTTGAGAAATGACATCCCTCTTTGCACCTCAGCTTCATTTCTGGTGTTCTTTATGCCTGGAAGAATTGTCCTGGAGCATTTCTTCTCCATTTGACATTAAGAAGTGTGATCGTTTTTCTTTCTTTATCAGTAGCAAAGTGATAAAGACTATTTTGTGCTCTGGTCATTGACTGAGTCCATAGTTTGTGGCCTATGTTCCCTGAGAAAGATGTGGGAAACATTAGTGCTGGGGCACAAGTGAGTTCTGGGTTTCATGGGGTTTACTGTCTCAATGCCTGTAACTTTCATATAACATACCCAAAAGGTAGCAGATAAAAATACAACCTTCGTGTGTATCAGCCCATTCCAGGAAAGGAAAAGCTGGGGTGTCCGCATGTAACCAGAATCTTAGTTGGTGGTTGTGTGCTGACACTGTTTTCAGAAAGTTTAAGGTGCTTCTCTTTCCAGGGTATCAAGAGCCCATTTCTTGGACTTAATATTTGAATCATGTTTATGCCTATTTGTTTTCTCAAGCCAATTTAATATGCATTTTGTTAATTTGAAAAAAATAATGAAACAAGTAAACTATTTTTTTCCAAGGGTCAAGTAAGAAGGATGACAGCACAGTTCTAGACACCAAAGAGAAGAATGCTGAGTATGCAATATGAAACCTTTGTTCTGTACCTCGGTATCCATTGGGTGAATCACTTATGTTGATCTGCTGGACCTCGATCTCCTCCTTTATGAAAAGAAGGAGCTGGGATCAATGGTTTTTAAATCCTTCTGTTTCTAATTTTCTACCCATAGTCTCCAGGTCCTTCTGTGTTGCCAGTTCTCATTCTCATCAGCTACTCAAAATCTGACATGATCACATTTGGGTTTTAGAAAGGTCACTATGGTTGCAGTATGGAGAACAGCCTGGAAAGAATTATGGGCTTAGGCAATACACGTACGAGGTGAATGAATGTAGTAATATTGGAGTAAATTGATGGGGGTATGATTTCATAATGTGGGGTAGATATTGGTGAATGGAATTAGAAGGTTCCTCTGGTGCTTAACTGATTGGAAGTAGCTTTACTGGTTTGGATTTGGTGAGTGATGAGAAAGGTGATGTCAAGAGTAGTACTGCTTAGGCTCCTAGTTAGGTGATCTGTTCAGCACCAGAACCCTTCAATCACCAAGACGGGGACACAACAGGAGCATCAGCCTTGGGGAACAGACAGCAAAGTTTGATCGGACAGAAAATCTCTTCGAGACATTGTCTCCTGACTATTCCTGTACATGTGAAGGTTATGACTTTCACCCAGCACATATCTGCAGCCTATTTCATGATGTGTCATGGTATCCGGAAAAAAACTGATTCAAAAAATAATTTTGAAAAGCAAAAATGTAGATTTCTGTGGAAGTTTCATTGGTAAGATAGGGGAATGGAGTTACATTGCATATCATACTTTAAAATGTCTTAAAAATCATCCTTACATACAGCTCTTTCTCTGAATCACAGCTCCCTGTAACAATTTCTAATCATTTTGTTTCCCTAGCAAAAACCTCTCTCTTTTCTAGTATTCTCCTAAATCCCAAAACTTTGCATTCTTCATTCACTTAGATATGAAGCTGGGGAACTAGTCTCGGTCTTGGTGAGTTTCAATGCATGTGTCACATTTAATATCTCAGTTTTATTACTAAGGACATTGCATTCTTATTAGTTATATATTAGTCTCCTTTATTCCTCTATTTGATGTTGAGCTCCTCAGGGATGTTTTCTTTTTAATGTAATGCCAGAACCAAGGTTAGACTTCTACTAGGAAGGACATAAATATTTACTTAGTGAAAAAAGAAGGAATTATATTTAGACACTAGTTAATTATTTTCAAGCCATATATTTCCATGAAACTTTCCTAGACTTCCCAGGTTGACATAATCTCTCCTATAGAAACTTCCCAAACAAATTTCTCTGGTTTTCAACTTCCATCTTATCACATGCTACATCATACTAAGGTCATGCCATACCTATTGTAGCTCTACTATGCTAATCAGAGTTTACTAGTCCTTGTGTTACCAACACCCATCCTATGGTTTGTCGCTGTCAGGTGTCAAAAAGTATTTTTACATACACTTGAGAAGGTATAAATGAATGAATTCATGGCCTAGTGTTTAGGTTTATGTCTGTGTAGTGCCAATGATCTATTTTCTCTTTCCATATAAAACACTTCTAATTCTGATGGTTCGTCACGGGCCGTGTCCAGCTAGTTTTATTTTCTTGAGAACACGGGCCATTTCTTTTTCTATGTTGTATCCCTTCATTCTATTTTCTGCTCATGTATTTTGCTAATGCTAATGACTTAAAATATATTTGTTCAATGAAGCCATGCAATCTCAGTGCTATGGGGTATCCCATCTGCCATCTGCAGAATGTCATTCTCAAATTTAAAAATAGTCATCCTCAAGTAATTGGACAAACTTATGCTTAGTGGGGAGGAAGGAGTAAAACCGATTGGAAAGACCACTGATAGTGTCTAACCCCAAAGGATATTGCATATTCTCAAGATTAAGATTCTCTATCTGTTCACAAAGAATTTTTAAAATATCAATACTTGGTTGCACTAGCCTGTATGTTTATTTTTTAAGCAATATGTACATCTAGGGTTTTCTTCATTGAACTAAATGCTGTAGCAAGTATATGTCTTATATACCACCTGCAAGACATTTCTAACATTTTACTAATTTCTTAGTAAAGAAAAACTTCACTGACTCTAAAGTGTAAAACATCCCTATGGAAGATTATATGGAAATGGTTTAACTGTACCAAAACAGGCCTTCTGTGCAGAAAATGAGAAATTTCCTTTTAATTAGAATGACAGCAGGAATTGAGGAAGGCAGAATTTAATGTAATTAAAATTGGAAAATCATTATTTAACGAGAGTCATGCTACATTTTCTTGAAGAAAACACAATGAGGATCTTTTAATTTCAGATGAGTCAATAATTTTATTTTTATATCTCTCCTGAGCCTGTTCTAATTAAAAGGGTATGGAAGATAAATTTGAGGATGCTTTCTTTACTTTCCTAGTCTTAATTGCAGTCTTTTGCTTGGAAAGTATGTTCACAAAATTAACTTGAATTTCATAAAATGATACTTTAAAAACTAACATGAATGTGGGAACCAAGAATACTGACTAAGTGGTGGAGAATCCAGGAATGAAAATGAAAGACAGATCTGTACCAGTTCAATCTATACTCATTGCTGCTTGTCGGCTTATTGTCAAATTTTAATTAAGGAAAAAAATCTTTCTGTGAGTATATCCTGAACTTTCATGGTGTATTTGCATTGTACCTTGCTCACTGCTATTGCATGTCAGGCTTTGCAACTTTGATTCTCCTAATTAAGCATAAATTTAAGATTAAGGTGCTCAGTTTATTAAGGAGAAAAAAAACACGTAAAGCAATTGTTCTTCTCTGTGTCTGACGGGAAAAAATGCTGTAAGATAAGCTATATTGTATTACCTATTAAGTGAGAAAAAACATGCTCGAGGAGAACTAATTTAGTGTGCCAGTGGAAAGAAGGGAGGTTTTAATTTGTTGTAGTAATTACACCCGAGGTATAGATTTAAGTATCTGTTTCCACCACTACTGATGGTGTGTAATGCAGGACAGGGAGTTTTGGACCTGGAGTTTACTCCACCACTGCCACTTAGCCAACAATCACAATGGAAATTAATGTGTATTAAGTTTAGTATGTACCGGTCACATTAAATGAATTAATCTCTTGAATCCTCACAACCACCTACTGAGCTTGGTCCTATTATCATCCTTCCATTTCTCAGATGAGGACTTGGAAACACACAGAGGTGATGCAAATTGCCCAAATCAGTTAGCCCATAAGCTGTGGGGCCAGGATTCAAATGAAGTAGTCTAACTCAGGAACCAGTGCTGTGCAGAATTCTAGTGTCTGGGTTGATGTTTGTGTACTATGATTGATGATCTCTGTATTTTCTTTCTCTATATACAACACTTCTCTTTCTATGATTGTCCATCTTGTGCTAATCCAGTTTTGTTTTACTTGAGATCAAGATCATGTCTCTTCTTACTCTGTATCTTCTAATTACATTTCCCACTTCCACATCTGCCCAATGGTAATAGACATGCTGCTAAACGCTAGTAAGTAGTGGAGCCATGATTTAAAACAGAGGAATATAACTCCCTTGATCCTCTGTTCTTCACCACTGAGCTGCACTGTCAAGAGAAACACATTACCTCTCTGCTTCAGTTTCCTCATCTATAAAGTGGAGTGCAGGGGGAGTCAGATGCTCTTGAAGGATTTTGTCATCTCAGTAGTTTAGTCGTTGTATTTGGTAGGTCTTCTAGGCCAACACAGACCTAAAGAAAATAGATCTTTGTATGCCGTGGAGCAACAAACACACACTGATTTATCACAATACTCCATGATTGAGGCCGGTCTTGGTTTCCATTCCTACAGAACTCTACCCTGCATCAAGAATTAGAATGGAAGTGATCTTACTTTGGGAAGTAATCTTAGGATGTTCCAACAGGAAAGCAGACTGGTAGGAAGGGGAGTGGACTGATGATATGGTGTGTTATCAATTAAGTTGCTTAATTTCTCAGGGGAACCGTGAAGTAAGCACAGATCACAACTAAGGAGCTCTATTACCTGAGAGGGAGGCTCCTGAGACACTCACTGGTGAGTGCTGCCCCAGGGCCTTCTTCTGGCTGCAGATGGAATGGGCTCAGGAGACCAGAGGAAGCACCTACGCAAGAAACACAGGCACTGGCCATTCTAAGTTAGACCTGCCACAACGAAGGGGTAAGTGGATTTGCCTGCAACGTTTTCCACGGGGCGATGCTGACAAACTTGACTTTTAGATGAAGAGTTACCCTGAAACATTTCTTTGCTTCTTTATTTTTCCTGGAAGGGTTAATTTTATTTTCTGAAACAACACAATCCTCTTCCTTGCCCCAGTAAATAGAGTGTAAAGAACACAATGGAATCTCTTTGATGATGAAGCCTCCTGCCATCACTCAGTGCTATTATTATGACCAAAGTTTGGGTGTTCCCATCTTACCTGAAAAAATGGCTTCACATAGCATGAAGGATGCTATCAGAGAAATAATTTTTGAGATCTCTACAAATGCAGTGGGATAATTTAGAAGCCCCAGTAATGGCTGTTATCTTTCTCTGACTGGACATAGAGGAATGCACGGATAACTACAATTTTAATCCTTTTAGAGCAACATTTCCAACCCTGTTTTTGTGACATCCCAGAGCACCTTTAGGAATCTCATAAATTACTTGGGTGAAAGAAAAAGAACACCTAGAAACAACAACTAGCAAAATCCTGAATTGATTTTCAAAATGTAGATAGAGCATCAAGCCTTTTTTTAGAAAGTAGTTCATTTAATGAAATAAAACCAAAATCATACATCCTAAAATTTGCAAAGCTTGCTAGTCACTGCTTTATTGAACCAAGAGAGAATGAAGAGCATGGACACTAGAAGCATCATAAAGGGAATATATATACTGACTGTAAGTGGTGATTTCTAGAACATAAAAGGGAATTCACTGAGTGAAGGGAGAGAATCAAGAAATCACCCACAAGAATTGGACTTTTCTATGACCTCCACAATACTTTCTCTAGCAAACCAGATTAGTTGCTGCTCTTCTATCTCTTTACTTCTTATTTTTTTAAAGTGTGTTTTTTTATTGAAATATTGTTTATACACAGTATTATATTGGTTTCAAGTATATAGCACAGTGATTCGACAGTTACCCACATTATGAAATCCTCACCCCCACCTGGTGCAGTTACTGTCAACATAGGAAGATATTACAGAACCAATTTAATGTATTTATGTGAGGTTCTCTTTTTCTCTCACTCTTTCTCCCTTCTCTTCTGTCCCTTCCTCTCTCTCTGTCTCTCTACCTCTTCTCTCTTCCTTCCTGATTCCCCATCCCTCTTCTCCAGCCCCCTTACTATCTCTTAACCAGTGTGGGGTAAGAAGACAGCTCTTATTGCAGAAGATTCTCTCTCCTGCAATCCTAAACATTCTCTACTGATTTCAGAAGAGACATTCTGGGAAAATCCACAGACATTGCTTTGTATTTCCTATTTTGATTCTTTCAACAGATGTATGAAATGATACCCAAATTCTTTGCCATACTGTTTCTTTGGTATTCTTTCAACTGGAAGCAGATTGAATCTTAAAGTTAGATATAAAATTTTGTTTCAAAAGTGATTAAAGCATTCCCAGAATACCAATAAGGGCTAGCATGACATCATTAATGTCAATATTCTTGGAACTAGAGGTTGTTTAAATGGCTTCGTAGACTCTACATACACATTTAAGTCATTTAAGTTCATGATAATAAACAAATACTCCAATTTATGTTGATAACATCTCTTCAAAAGAGACTGCTACTACCCACTGAAATCCTTCCTAACCTTGCTCTGCAATAAGAATTATAACTAGAAATATTCCTGCCCAGGGAAAGAATATATTTCTTAGTCCCTCTTGAAGCTAATTAGTTATATGGGTCTTAAGGGTCATACAACTAAATTTTTGCCAGGGAAATGTGACTAGAAGAGATGAGTTCTAATTCTTGTTCTGAATGTTAGAAAACTAGACACATGTTCCTCTATACCCTATTCCCTGCCCCATAGCTTTGAGCATTCAGATGAGGATAATGCACTTGAAAGAAGAAAACCAAAGATATAAGAAGATGGGTCCTAAATGGCTTCATGATCAGAATCTTCCGCCAGTGTACATTGTTGATCATAGATGTGTGAATGAGAAATAAACTGCATTTTTAAACCCTCTATTTCAGAGCTTCTGTTATGGCAACTTAGTCTTCACATTAACTAATGCATTCCTCAAAGGTCAAGGATGTTTTATCCTCTGGAATTGCACCAATTATCTCAAAGAAACTGTGTTCCCTTCATCAGGCAAAGGAGGTTAGCAAACACAGAGATGATCAATGAAAATTCCAGTCTAGGGACATTGGAACAGCTCATTAAATATATTAAACTTTTGGTAGCAGACACTAAGGAAAACAATATACAGTTTTTTTTCTCTACCAAGTGGAAAATTTTATTGATTCAAAAGTAACTTAAGATGTACTTTAAATCTCAAATGTGAAATGATTGTGTTTACATCATTTGCATGCTTATGGATTCACCTACAACTATTATGGTGGTAGAGGTAGGAAGTTAATATCTATCAGCTATAAATCTAGCTTCATATCATCATGATCATATGATTTTTGAGTTACCAATCTAGCTCGGGTTGGCAAAGATAAGACACAAGCCTTGTGATGATGAAGATGATAATAACACAGATAAGGAAGAGACTCATAGAGAGGTAAAAGAAGGAAAAAATAGGAAAAAATGTGTATGATTACTTCAGCAAAAGGAAAAATAAAGAGAGTAAAGATAAACAGCTGCTTATTTGATAAATGAGGCCCTCAGCCACATAACTGATTGAGGATGGTAAAGGAGAAAACATCTGGTGGCTGTGTATTCCTGGGCCAGGATGTCAGATCTCCAAGGAGTATCTCCTCGAAGAGCCGTAAGAATAAAGTTTGAAAGTTTGTCATACTTGTATTAGTTTCACGGTAACAAATGATCTCAAACTGAGTGGCTTAAAACAATAGAGATTCATTGTCTCCCAGCGCTGGAGGCCAGAAGTCCAAACAAGGTGTCTGCAGGGCACACTCGGTGCAAAGCCTCCAGGGCAGAATCCTTCCTTGCCCCTTACAGCTTCTGGGGACCCAGGCATTCCTGGTTTATGGCAGGGTAACTCCGATCACTCCTTCTAGCTTCTCTCAGTACTTGTGTGTCTCTGTACCTTCCGCGTGTTTCTTTTCTCTTCTTATGAGGCCAGTCCTCTCCTCATAAGGATACCAGTCAGTGTGGATTAAGGGCCCATGCTTCCAGTATGACCTCATCTTCAGTTAACTAATTCCATCTTCAGTGACCCTATTTTCTAATAAGGTCATCTTTAGAGGTACTTGGGGTGATAACATCAACATATCTTTTTATTAGAGACAGAATTCACCCCATAGCATTTATAGGGACTTAATTTTCCAAAATAAAAAATAATATTCTATTAAGGCTAGGCTATTTTTAGTTTTATCTTTTTAATATATTGAAGAAGAACATTTAATGTGCTTTATAGCATATTGGAAATAATTGTCAAATATGTAACAGAGATAACTAGTCTTGTTTTTATTTTAAGATAAAGCAAAAATATGTCAAAATTCTAAAAGACTGTTATTACTGTCTGTTCAGTGAACACTGTATCTGCAAGCTTTCTCTTTTCTAGAAATGGCATTGAAGACTGAATGGACCAAAAAAAAAAAAAGACTTGGACCCTGTACAACCAAATTGTACTTGGCAAATAAAAGAACTTCAGTGGGCCTTTTGAAAAGATTGTGTGTGAGAATCATATCCACAATATATAGAGATTAAAACTGCCAAGGCCACAAATAAAAATCCAATTGTAATAGGTTAAAGAGCTTATATTTAATGACTTCTTAATTTGATTTCTAAATAAAGCAATCCAAAAAAGCTTATAAAAATTTGCCAACATTTATAAATATTAAAGTCTAATAGTGGTAGATTATTAAACTTTTTGGTCTTTATGGCCATTTTTTTAAAAATAGTACTTTGTTTCTTTGCAGGTGTTTTGAAATAAAAAGATCTGTCTATTTTTCTCTGTTTCCTAAAACAGCTTTCTGTGGGAACCAGTGAAGATTTGGGCAAACCTTCCTTTTCATGAAGCTGGTGAGAGTTTTGACAGTCTGGCTGCTAGCCTGCATTTTGTGGCACATCTGTAGTTATAAACATAGAATTTAAATTATGTAAATCACCTTGGTAATGTGTTTTTCAAAGCTAAAAAGTACACTGTAGTTTATCCCTTGTACATTTTAGTAATATTTTTATGAATTGGATCTATGCCATGAAATCAAATTATAAGCTAAATTATATGTCATTTTTTTAAAGGGGGGCTTTATTAAATATTTGAGTTTCTTCAAATGAAAGAAAAGGCTACCTAATTACTTGTGGTAAAGGTTTAGAAAACAAAGAAAAAAATCTTTGTGTCTTATCTTGCTCTTCGTTTATGTTATGATCTAAAACCAGAGCAGTAACACAAGTAGTAAGATCAAGAGTAGAATCACAATTTCATTATAAGCAGGCTTATTCGTTTTTTCTCATTTTTCCCTTTACATCTTATGTCAGCAGTTACCAATGCATTATCTTCTTGAGAACAGTAATATGACTTCATTTCCTACCAATTGTCTTTGAAATTTCCTATGGGGAGCGATGTCTTTCAAGTTGGAATCCCCAGCATACATCTTGGCATATATTAGACACTCGTAAATGTTTGCTGTGTAAATGAGAAGCCAAGGAGAATAACAGGGGAAGAAAAATACCAGCCAATGAAGGAGTTTTCATTGTAGTGAGCAAAGCAGAGGCTGGCGTGCGCACTGGTCAGGTGTCCTGGTGTTGCCTTACGGCTGTGTACTGACAAGCTGTGTCTGTTTCAGAGAGGGTCTCTCCTTGCGGTAACATAGATTCTTTGCAAGTATTGAAAGCTATCCCAAAGAACGTTCTTCTCATGTTCAAAATCCATTTAGAAAACATCAGGTCCTTTCTCTAAGGGAAGCAAATTAAGGTATTGCGCCCTCCGCTGGCAGAGCTCTGTACTTTGGTTCTGAATAACTTAGTAATCTTTTCTAACATGGGCCAGGCACAAACGGCTCTCAGCCTTCCGTTTTGTGAATTGTTGCTTTTATTTTCTCTTTGTAATCCTCGACTTCTGCCTAATTCACATTCTGTCCACTCTGTTATGTTGCTGCATGAATGCCTTGCCTTCCGCTAGCTGATGACTTTTCTGTTGCTTGACCCTGCAGAAACCCTTTACTGCTTTTTTGCTACAAGGCAGGACGAGATAATACATCTCAGTCAAAATATCTCATCTCTCTCTGCTGAATGTGTCTAAAAATTCATGTTTCCATCAACAGCTGCTGAGACATCCACTTGGAGAAACACTGAAAATGTCCTCACGGAGAAGACACAAGTAGCTCTGATGGATCCTTCCCATCACATGTCACTGTAGAGTGCTTCAAGGCTAGAGGAATTCAGGTTTCCCAAATTCCTAATGAGGTTATCCTTGATATATA